GAGGTTAAGTACCCTGGGCCAGGGGACACACACTTAGTAGAGTGCAGAAGGTAGACAGAATCATCACCACCTCAGACAGTCTGTGCTTGAATTCTCATGAAAAAACTCATTTAAGTCACTTTTTTTCTTGTAAAACAGCTAAGTTGAATTCCAATATGTACAGCTTGCCAAGGTAGATTCAGAAGAGTGAAAACAGATGGCAGCACCCCACATAAGTTTTTGGCCTGTATGTATTTAAGAGTCAGAATGACAAGTGGCCCAGAGTTAAAGGGATACGTCCATTCACTACTTTTTAAAAAAAAAAAAAATATTTATCTTTTAGTTGTAGTTGGACATAATACCCTTATTCATTTATTCTTATGTGATGCTGAGGAACAAATCCAGGGCCTCACATGAGCTAKGCGAGYGTTCACCACTGAGCCACAACCCCAGTCCAATCCATTTACTACTCTTTAAAGTAAACATYGATCAAGATACAAAGAGAGACAGACACCAGAGGTGGGCATTTATGCTTACCCAAAAATGTATTCTGACATGCATTGGTGTTGACAGGGAATATTCTTGCCACCACTGAAGTCCTCTCTAGTAAACATTCCTTGTAGACAACAGTTCTTGGCAACAAATGAGCAGCAAAAAACTCCTGATGACCATTCTAAAACTGCAAGTCTCCAAGCTCCCACCTGCTCCACTGAGGTTCAGTTTAGGTATGAGGGTAGGGTTCTTACCCAGTTAGGACAGAGCAGCTGTTGTTAGCCTTGGCTACCCACTGAAGTCACCTAGGGAGCTTTCAAAAGTGATGGCTGAGCCAGGCAAGGCATTGCACACCTGTAATCCCAGCAGCTCAGGAGGCCGACACAGGAGGATCACGAGTTCAAAGCCAACCTCAGCAAAAGCGAGGTGCTAAGCAACTCAGTGAGACCCTGTCTCTAAATAAAATACAAAGTAGGGCTGGGGATGTGGCTCAGTSGTCCAGTGCCTGAGTTCAATCCCGGGTATACCACCCCCACCCCCGCGAGCAAAAGTGATACTTGTGCCTTGGCCTTACCCCTAGGGTAATCCAATTCAAAAGTTGTTGAAGGACCTTTATTTATTTATATGTGGTGCTGATAATAAAACCCAGTGCCTCACACATGCTAGGCAAGTGCTCTACCCAGGCCAGTCCGATGGCCTAGGGTGATTCTAATGTGGGGGGGGGGGGGATTCCTCTTGAGGCAGGAAGTAATTAACACTGTACAGAAGATTGTGGAAAAAATAAATGAAAAGGAAATAAAAAAAACAGTACTATATGATTTGTACAAAAAACAGTACTATATGATTTGTACAAATGTCAGAAATACGAAACTTAACTGAATCAAAGACTCCTGAGAAGATACACATTCTCAAAGTGCTGATGACTACTTACTCATCGTAAATGAGAAGTCTGACAAACAGTACCTGAACTGTATGGCCAAATTGAATGTGAGGAATAATGAGACAAACTAATATAATTTATTTCCTGATGTGACTTCCTGCCACCCCTAATAGATATGCTCTGAACCTAATAATATGGAGGCAATCATACAAATCCTTAGAGGCATTCTACAAATCATCTGGCTTTTTTTTTTTTTTTAAATGTCAGTGTCATAAAAAAGTGGAAAATGGGACTGGGGGTACTGTTTGAGATTTCTAAAAAGGACTAAATAGAGATGTGAGAACTGAATGCAATTCATCATTCTTAATGGATTCTTCATTGAAAATACTATTTATGATATTATTGGGACAACTATAGGAACTCAAATATGGACAGCATATCACATAATATTGTGCCATATTTTCTGAGAGTGATGATGACATTGGTTTTTTAGATAAACATTCTCCTCCCATCTCTGGTACTAAGGGTGAACCCAAGGGTGCTTTACCACTGAGCTACATCCCAGCCATTTTTATTTTAAGACAAGGTCTCCTGAAGTTGCTGAGGCTGGCCTGCAACTGGCAATCCTGCCTCAGCCCCTTGAGTTGCTGAGAKTATAGCCATGCACTACTGCACCAGCAGAGTACGTAGACGTTTTTGAAAAAAAGTTCAAATAGAACAATGTTCCATTACTAATTAATCATCTATTGGGGCTGGAGTAGGACTAAGAGATGAAGCTAGCAATAGGTTCAAACCTACAGAAAAATTAGTAGGTGTTAATAAACATATGTTAAGACATTCACAGCTGATCAACTGCTCCAGCCCGACAGATGTCAGAAYGACCTTTCTTCTACCTTTAACATTTTGAGCGGTACCTCCTAACAACTGAGGGAMATGTCCAGGTGTATATTTGAGGATTTCATTTTATCAAAGACATGTAGAATAAAGCATAATGCCTACCACTATTCCACAATGAACACATGTGCCAAGATTGTCCTTGTTTTATCCGGGTAAGATCCACCATTTCCTTCATCTGTCCTTGAACAGCTAAGGTGTTCTCAGATCCTATCTTGCTGCAATATTTCCACCTTTACTATGGCAGCTTCTGTATCTTCTGTTCTCATGGTTTACTTCTAATTATACTTAATTTGACTTAAATGTCTCAGGAGAAGCAAAGATCACCTATTCCAATGAGATCTTCCTTACATTTACTTTTGGCTCACTTTTAGTAGAGTAAGTAAACATCATTGGAATCTTCTTCCCATTCTTAAAACAAAATTGTTATTTAGGTCACTCAGGTATTTAAGATCATAAAAGCGCTTCAAAAATTATTCTCAATATGATCTTACTTTTCTTGAAACATTCTTCATTTTCCTAACAACACAGGAACCTAATATACATAATATTATCAAATGAGAAAACTGACTAAATCCAGAAAATATTAATATGCATTATCTTCTATAATTTCTATATTTTTAAAATAGCTACATAATAATTCACTTTAGGAATTTTTGCCAATAAAGCATCCATATAAAAGACAAATGTCCAAGAATGTTCAGTTAGAACACACTATAATAATGTGAGGCTTTGGTGAATGGAGGCTGTCATCAGCAGAGATAAGAAAAAGTTAATGGGGCTGGGGATGTGGCTCAAGCGGTAGCGCGCTCGCCTGGCATGCGTGCGGCCCGGGTTCGATCCTCAGCACCAAATACAAACAACCATGTTGTGTCCGCCAAAAACTGAAAAATAAATATTAAATAATTAAAAAAAAAAAAAAGAAAAAGTTAAAGGAACACTTCAAAGGGAACGTGAACATCGGAGCAGTTAAGTGATTTGCCCAAAGAGAAGTCTAGTTCAGGGCATTCAGCAGAAGTGTATATTAGATGTGACCTTCTCCAGCACAGAGTTACTTTATGTAATCAGTACATTGTATCATTTAGTAAGGGTCACTACACAGAARTACCAGGGATATATCCCCCTACATTCAACTTTATGATAAATGAGCCTATTCATAATAAGATGGTGGAAATATTAAAATTTAAGAACATATACTCTCAAATTCCTATTTTAGCCCTTCGCCAGTTTTCATACAATTTGAAGTCTGTAGACTAGAAACATTTGACCTGAAAGTTTTTAGACTTCATTCATTTAGTTCAGGTTTTTCTTTTGCAGGTAAGAAAACAGATCCAGAACCAAGAGGACCTTTGGTGACACAAACTCTCAGCAGGGCAAGGCTAGACCTCAGCTCTGCCTCCAGGGCTCTTTCCACTAGACCCCTTTAGCATGAAAGTTCAAATAAATAGGCAGCTACTTAAGAAAACTTCAGGTAATGCATAATGAATCTATTTGTACTTGATGTCAGTTGAAATTTGGGGTTGATTTGTTTCTTGATGAAGTCTTGCTATGTTGCCTGGTCTGGCATCAAACTCCTGAGCTCAAGCAATCTTCCTGTCTCAGCCTCTTTGAGTAATAGGGACTATAGGCATTGGCCACCACACATGGCTTACATTTAGCTGAAATTTTTGTGGTTGTCCTCAGCCTTGTTACATGGTTTCCAGGCCTGAACATACTAGAAATGACAGGTATGAAGAGACAAAAGGAAGATAAAGGGACAAAACATGGACAATCTAGTAATCTGTCTTCTCTATAAAATTTCATGTCAATACCATTTTACTCACATATTTATTCTACACAGCGATATAATGGTATGCTCGACCTATTCCACTTGGATGTTTTTCTGAACSGGTAAGACAGCCAAACAAGGAGGGAGGGATGTAAAAACACATTGATGACAAAAGACCCTRGAAAGCTGTTATTTGAGTGTCTTCCACCAATTATGATTGAAAATGCACCTAAATTACAAACTACTTTCAAAATACTTTATCAGATGTCTGCCCTGATGAAATTATGTTCATGCTATGCCTAGTCTCCTATTGCTGACCTGAGAGAAAACATTATTCTTAAAGACTAGATATAAAAATAAGTTTTCTTATAGAATCTACCAAAGGTCATTTAATATTTGCACATACAAAACAGAACTGTRGAAAAAAACCATCCTAGCTCACCGATTTAAAAAGTACAAATACTGAAAATGGAAAGCATGCAGTTTTTCCTGATCTTTCAAAGCAGTTAACTTTCAGATGACAAAGATGAAGGAAGCCTTTTAAAAATCCTTTCCTTCAACATTTAAAAATAATCTTTTCCYTCTCCCATAAGAGCCACAAACTCTTATGCTTTTTAAAAACACATGTTGACAATCCTACTATCCACAGTTTTCAAAATAACTCATAGTCTATTACTTTAACTAGGGTTCAAMTGACAAGACCTAGAGAGTTACACAGTAGTTGTAAGCTGATAATAGATCATATGAGCCTGTGATAGATCATAAGGGCAGACACTTGCACTGCAAGAGGATAAGAGCCCCAGACACTATCAGCCTGGTGAGTCAAGGACAAGGAAAGGAAATTCTCATTCCTAAAGTGACAAAACATAATCTAGTAATCTGTCCTAATTAGCACCGAATCACATTACTAGTACCAAGGATGTCTGACTGCATCCATCTGCCCACATTCCACTCAACCATAAAGCAAGCCAAGGCCAATGATCTTACCTCAAACTGTGGGTAGGGAGGAGTCATAGCTGAAGGGGGCCCTGAGGTGGGAGGTGGCATCCCTGAAGTGGGTGGGAACAGACCCAAGGCATTCAGATTTAATCCAGGAATTAAATGTGCTTGAAGCTGTAATGGTTTAAAAAAAAAAAAAAAAAAAAAAGTTCTTTAATTTGACAATTAAAAGAATCAAAGGAAAGTGAAACCCTTTTTTTTTTTTTTTTTAATATAATAGGGATTGAACACAGGGATGCTTTACCACTGAGCTACATCCTTAGCACCCTTCATTTTTTAAAGAGCCAGGGCCTCACCAAGTTGCTGAGGCTGGCCCCAAACTTTAGGTCATCCTGCCTCAGCCTCCCAGGTTGCTRGGATTACAGGTATGCATGACTGCACCCAGTGGAAGCGAGCATTTGTGACARTATTCAGATTGTGTATTATGTGTATTTTGTATGATGGCATAAATTTCAGAACAAAGCAAATATTCCAAGTGACTATACTTCAGTAGATAATTTACATCTGTTTACATCTCTAAGTATCTTTAAATCTGAGATGATTTGCCCCTGCCTAGATCATCAGTTGCCCACAGGTTTTTCAAGGAGAGGGAGCATGGCCTTCCTTTCCCCCACTAGAAAGAAATTGCTTAGCCAAAATGGTACTGTCTGCCGTGAGCACTCCAAAAATACGCAAAGAATGCCTTGAATCAGTTGAAGGGGTGCACAAATAAGAGCTGCTCTCTGAGAAGCACACCAGGTGCACTCAACCAGCTGTAAAGAGATCTCTACTCCTTATAAAACCCRGCACTCCTGGGGTTTCAGGCCTAAGAAAGTCCAGCGCTTTGGAAATCAGGACCCAACACCATGTTAGTACTGCCAACCAAATCTTTGGAATGGATACAGGAACCAGAAGGGAATTTTAATTTTAATTTTATAAAAGCTGAATAAGCAAGGTGGAGAGTAGAACTAGGCTTCAGTGTATCAGAAAATCTTTGCACAAGGCCTGGAGTTGGAATTAATCCCAGTTGATTAATCCCAGTTGAAACATTAGATAGCAGTGATGACATTAAGGTAGGCAGGCTGTCATGTGGGGTAAAATTAACATTCTAGGTTTTTCTCACAAAGGTAATATTGTCACATTTCCCTTCTTTGTTTCATATGACAGGTCCAATTGATGAATTTTGTTAATGATTTACTTCAAAATTTAAGATGGACTTTTGAAGTGTTTCATGTTCAGAATTAATCAATCCATTAAGGAATGTCATAATTTGCTTTAATGATACACTACAAATTATTTTTCATTTTATTCATTTATTTTTTAGTACTGCAGTTTGAACCCACGGCCTCACACATGCTACTGTACAAGTACTCTACATTCCCAGCCCCTAAACTTGTATTTTTAATAGTAACTTGAAGCCAATGCTCTAAAGTTTAGACRTTTGCTAAAATCACAGAGTGTGCCAAGCCTAATGTCAAAGACTGTTCTTTCCTACTAAGCCAGGGTACTTGGTATGGTGCTAAAAACCCATTAAAATCATTTCTTSTGATGCTACCACTAAAGAGACTTAATATCAATGCAAGGAAAAACATCTTTTAACTATTCATCAAAATAAGCACAACTCCTTCATATTAAAACTAACATTCATAGAAGCAATATCATTTTCATAAGACTCCCTGATTTTCTTCATTATCTCTTCCTCAGCTTTGGCACATGTTTCAACATTGCCTTTAACCGTAATGGTGCGTTCTGGATTATACAGCGTCAATTCCTGCAATCTGTAGATTGAAAAAGAAGAGAAAGATAAAGAATGGAAATTATAGGAGGAAGACAGTTAATAATTCAGTCACAGATAGCAATTAAAACCAAACTATGGATCCTGGCATTGTGTAAAAGTCGGTGGTCAAACACGATGGAAAATGAGTAAGCCCCAAAAGACATGAATCCAAGCACTGCAAAGCTACAGAAAAGAAAAAAAATTTCCCCTCCCATCCTCTCAATAAAAATCACTGGGTATATATACTTTAAGCCCATGTTTTAAATATAGCTTGCTTATTGACCACTTAAAGTCAAACCATTTTCATAATTTAAAGTGAATTGAAAAGGAATTATTAGAAGGATGGACAGATTTAGTGGAATCCAAAAGCATATAACCTTTGTATTGACCAACTCGTAACTGGCATTCTCATGCAATTGCATTTTCTGGGTAAACAAGCAAGGAAAATGCATGGAAATATTCCCAAAAATAAATCAGAAATTATTGTCTACATTTAGTTTTTATGAGTATTTTTAGAATTTAGATTAAAGTAGAATGGAGAAAATAAATCAATCCATATTGACTTAAAATGGTCCATTGATGACCATTCCAACTACAAAAGAGTTGGATAGCAAAATTCAGAAACTCCCTGCTTAGCCCAGGTCCTGCTAAAGCTTCAAAATCTACAAAAAGTTACATCTGAGAACACCTAACAAGCTTAAACTGGTCAACAGCCTCAAAAAAACAAGTATAGACATTTACCATGGAAAACAGAACTATTTAACACAGATTGAAAGAATATGTTGCATTGGTACAGCTCTCCTTCATACTCCTAGAGTTAAAGTCCCCATTTTCACTATTAGCAAATGTTGTAGACTAAATTTGAGTCAGATATTATTTCTTCTTCTCAAACTTACTAGAAATGTAAACTAAATAATGAAGAAAATGGAGTCTATGAAGTCTCTTCTCTTGGACTAAAGTAGTATAGAATTCTAATCTCCAGTCTCAGCCCAGCCCTGCCAAGCATTTTGTGTTACAATTTTATCATTCTTTTCTAGTTCATCAATTTCATCCCACCTTTTTAGGTCCTCAGATGAAAACTAGGGTACTCACCCCCAGAAAAGAAACCTCTCCATATAATTTCAGAGCATTCACGGACTTCAGGTGTTGTAGCCCGCCTCCGAGATGATGCCCCTCTCCAAGTTATCTGTAGTCCCTACACACATGCTGAAGAAGGCTGACTTGTTTAAACAACATTAGGAAATGATATGAGAGTAAGTAACTTCTGAGATGCTGTCATAAATAGACACTGCAGCTTCTACCACACTCTTTCTTGGATCATTCCCTCAAGGAGGAGAGTATGAGCTGTCTGTCTAGGACACTTAAGCAGCCCTGTGGAGAGGTCCATGAGGTGAAGGGCTGAGGCCTTCCACAAACAGCCAGCATCAACCTAGCAACATTATGAGACCCTGAGCCAGAACTATCTCACTAAGCTGTTCCTGAATCCTGAACCACAGAAACTGAGCAATCCATGTTCATTACTGTCCTGAGCTGTTATAATAATCTGTTATACAGCAAAGGATAATAAACTAGATAGCATATTACAGTTTGAGGAATACAGGAAGAAAACGCCATCAAGACCTCAGCTAGAAAATATGAATGAAAAGCATTTAGATGTAACTGTCTTTTGTGAAAACAGATATTGCTTTCGATATAGATTAGAAATAGTAGGCAAGTAGATAGAGTTTGAGAAACTGTCTAAAGGTGACAGTACAGATTAACAAACAGCTGTAAAGAAGTAAAAAGCAGAGCTTAATGTAAAACACACAGTAAAAAAAATGCAAGGCTGCACTTACGGAGATATTGTGATTTTAGTATCTGTGTCTTGCTCAATTTTTTTAAGATTTCTTCCTTCTTTACCAATAAGACGGCCTACAAAGTTATTATGGGCTAAAATCTTCAAGGGGAGCTCTTCTGTGCTGTAGATTAAAAAGAAAAAAGAAGTCAAAATCAGGGAAAGTAAACCTACTCTTGGATTTTTAAAAAAAATTTTTTTTTAAAATTCATTAAACATTGACTTCCTACCTACCAGATGGGAAACGTTATGCTAAGTACAGTGCTGACAATTAGCCTACATTTTAGCAATGCATGAATACAGGGAATGAAAAAAAATAGCAAGTTATTTGAATAAGAGTTAATTTTTGAAATTGTTTTTCTTTTATTCACTTCAGGGAATATCTACCTTCAAAGACATATTCTCTTAATGAAATCCATACTCCTAAACCCCTAATGCCAGAACACAAAGGCATGGATACAAAATAGTGTGATCCTAGTATAAATTTCAAAATACATACCTGGAGTGTTATGGTTGGGATATGAGGTGTCCTGCAAATGCAGGAATGTTCAGAGGTAAAATGGTTAGATTATGAAAGTTGCAATCAAATCAGTGGATTAATCCATTTAATGGATTAATAATTTGGAGGGACTAACAGGGTGGTAACTGTAGGCAGGAGGGCATGGCTGGAGGAAGTAGGTCACTGAGGGCATGCATTTGGGGTTTAAGGGTCCAAGGCGTGGTCCCTCTCTCCCTCTTCACAATCCTTTCTCTGCTTTCTGGTTGCCATGAGCTAAGCAGCCTTGCTCTGCCATGCCTTTTCTACATGATGTTCTGCTTCACCTTTGGCCCAGAGAAATGGAGCAATGGACTAAACTCTGAAACCATGAGCCCAAAATTAACTTTTCCTTGTGAGTTGTTCATGCCAGGTAATTTGTTCACAGTGATGAAAAGCTAACTAACACATGGAGATGAGTATATAATTTATAGAAGAAACTTAACAATGGTACTACTTTGGGGGATAAGAACAGAAGATAGATGTTCCTATTCCTTTTACTGTGCATTCTGTATCTTGCACAATTTCTAAACTATATACATATCACTGTTTAAAAATGTCACTAAGGTTATCAGATGGTAGGCTTTTCCCTTATTTTTCTCTATACTAAAAAGTAATTATGTTCTTATACTGCAGCAACCATATATAATCCTTTCTGCTAAGAAGATATTTAAATGTCTCTGCAAATTAGGCATTGGTGATGAGGTCCCCGAGCTAACTATAGAGCCTTCCTCTGGATTCAGTTTTTAGTGTGGCTATTCTGTATACTAAATGTAGCTCAGAACCCAACCACTACTCAAGTTCCTATGGAAGAAATATTAAGAGTTCCAACCTGCAAAACCCAAATAAATCTCCAGTTTACCTTTGCACACATTGAGGCATTTCCTTACCTCTACACTTCCGCTGTTCAGGGGTGGGGAGGAGCAGAAGACAGGGCACCCAGGGGCTCTGAGTAAAGGACAAGTGAGGATTTGGGGTCCCTGTCTCAACAGAATCCCAGGATGCTTCTTGGTCCTGGGTTGGCTTCCTATGTACTCCAACTACCCTCTTCTATAGCTGGATTTCTCTTCCTCATTATCATTACTCACTCCACATTCAAATACAGATGAAAGTGAAATATTTAAATATTTAAATCAGATTTATGTTTCACAACCAAATCAGTAGTGCTAACCACTGTAGCTCATCAGGATAGCATTTCCCTTTGTTTGCTGGGAATCTCCAAGAACTGTGTCATAGAAACTCAAAATAAAACACCATATAAATCTCTTGTAAGTTAGTCCCCTTTACTCACAATTTTATATCTTGCGCTTCCTTATGCATAATCTCCAGAATAGACTTACAAGCCGCGGAGGTGCCTTCAGGGGTGGAGAGAATCGTAATTGACTTCTCAGCAGCCCCTGCATTCTCTTTACGATGGACATCAATTCTGAGAGTGAGCACAAGCAGAGAGAAAGTGAGAGCTATAAGGTATATTCACAACAGAGTTTTTGATTACCAACTGCGAAGCCCCAGGACTTCTAGGGAGAGAGTGGATGACCCACTTCCCTCAAGAGCAGAAACTCTGTACCACATGTCAACACTGATGCCTCTTAGGCAGATGTTAATTCCAGGAACATGCCCCTCTCTTTACTCAGTCCAACCAAGCAGGGATATCTTTTCATTTAGCCCAAGCTACTGGTGCTTAAAACTCCCTTTCAGATGCCACAGTACAAATATCTCACAGGCAAAGAGCCTGGTATTCAGACAAAAGGCTTTCTTCTGCTCCAAAACAGATAGGAACTGGAGTGCGTGCCAATGGGGCTGGGGCTAGAGCTGGAGTCCCACAAGCCAGGTTGAATTCCTTGTTCTGTGCAGAATATCCATTAATCATGGTGAGCACATTTCATTCATCTGCTTTCTTTTTGCAAGGCTTCTGTGTTTGCCGTCTCAATAGAGGAAAGTCTGCAACAAATGTGGTGGAAATGGAACCCAAAGAGATAGCAATTCTTCACGGAAAACCAAATGGTCAATAAATGCAAATRATGTTCAGACTTACTAGTAATTTGTATGCATGCCAATTGAAACATCATTTTYCTCCAAATCTGCAAATATTTTGAGATGGATAAAATTAAGTTTTAGTGAGATGAAGGGTAATGGGACACATCCACACTTCTGATGTGAGTACATAGCAAACTGGCAGAACCTATCAAACGTAACRCTATTGTCATCTTTCAACTCAAGAACACTTCTCATAACATCTTGTATAGACAATCACATATGTGGACCAAGAGTGGTATTTCTCACTGACATTTTAAGCCAGATTCATTTGTTTTGTGAATGGTGCATCCTGTGCATTGTAGGATAAGTAATAACATCCCTGACCTCTTCCCACTAGATGCCAGAAGCATACCCTTTACCCAGTTCTGACACCAAAAGTGTCTCTAGACATTGCCAAACGTTCACTAGGGGAGACCAGCCCTTGCTGAAAACAATCAGCATAATAATGCTCACTGTGGGATTGTTTCTAATAGATAAGAAAAGATTTATCTTTAAAATTCTCCTAAGAATGAGATAGTTAAATAACAGTTACAGTATATCTATGTCATAGAGCTAGTTTGTTGTTTTGTTTCTGTATTTCCAGAGATCTACCCTAGGGCCTTGCACATTCTAGGCAAGTAGTCTACGTCTGAGCTTCATTCCCAGCCCATCAGAAAGCTATTTATCAAAAAGGTGATGAAACTACAAGTACTAATATAGTGTGTGGTCATCAGATACAGCAAAAATCACTTCCCTTCTTCTCTATCATCAATCTAAGAGAAAAATATATACCATAATATGATTTCTTTTTAAAAAGCTACAAAATAGGGCTGGGTCATAGCTCAGTGGTAGAGCGCTTGCTAACATACATGAGGCACTGGGTTCGATCCTCAGCACCACATAAAAACAAATAAAATGAAAATGTTTCTTTTAAAAAGGGCGGGGGGCGGCTGGGGTTGTGGCTCAGTGGTAGGGCGCTCGCCTGGCATGCTCGAGGCCCTGGGTTCAATCCTCAAAACCACATAAAAATAAACAAAATAAAGGTATTATGTACAACTTGAAAAAAAAAAAGCTACACATTAATAGATGCAAGGAACAACTCCTATAAATACATACCCAGCTTCATCTCACTTTTGACTATCTCAAGAGTGAGATGAAGCTGGGTATGGTGGTGCACACCTGTAATCCCAGCGGCTCAGGAGGTTGAGGCAAGAGGATCACGAGTTCAAAACCAGCCTCAGCAATGGCAAAGCACTAAGCAACTCAGTGAGATCCTGTCTCTAAATAAAATACAAAATAGGGTTGGGGATGTGGCTCACTGATTAAGTGTTCATGAGTTCAGCCTCCAGTACCCCCCCCCCMAAAAAAAGAGCATGGGGTGAATGCTGGGTGTGTGGCATGCACCTACAATCACAATAATGAAGGCCAGGGATATATGCACCCTGGGTTCCATCTCCAGTGCCCTCCCCTCCAAAAAAAGAAAGAATGAGATGAACCTTTAGCCTTTCTTATTTTAATTCCCAAATTTGTACATTTGAATTAAACACAGAATAAGTTTGCTGTTGCTTATCCCAAAAATCTAAGTTTTAGGGAAAATTAAGTACTTATTGAGTCAGAGTCATGAGTATGATTACCACTTCATTATGCCAATCATTTCAAGGTTTGGGTTTCCTTTTCCTGAACACTTGGTTGAAAATTAAAGCTTTGTGCAGAAGTAAAACCTGTAACTAAAAATAAGGGTAATATAGAAATGAAACAAGTATGGGCTCCCTAGAAATAAAAAAAAAAAAATTGTCTTATATAAAAGCACCAATCTCAGGAACCAGCTTCCTAGGTTGTTTCAATACCCAATCAGTGTCAGTCATGCATATCTTCTGGTAACTTGTTAATATATCCCTTCTGTTTATTTCCACCCTCTGTGTTAAGGACTACCAAACTGTCATCCCCTGAGAAAAGGGAACTTAACTTTGGAGATTAGGGTGGTCCCCTAGAGACCATTCCAGAAACAGAGGTTCTGATAATGATTAGTTTCAACGGCAAGAGTTAATTAACTTCACTGGCAGAGTTCTGCAAACAAATCATCAGATACAGCAAAAATCACTTCCCTTCTTCTCTATCCCCCATCTTCCTGCCTTAAGTAAAACAAATAGTTCAATTTAAGTCACAGTTCTTTCATCCAACAAGGAAATGAGGAGCTCAAAAACGAACAACTCTAATCTGCCACATGACAAAGAAAGCCACGTAATAAGTTTCTGCAGGTAATGGAAGGTCATGGCAAGCAAATAGCTTTTAAAATTTAAGATTAAAGTCAGGCAAATTTATCTAGATTATGGTTCAGCTGTCTTCCCTACCTACTATATTATCAGGTCAGAGCCATCAATTTTTCACACAGGTACCAACCTAATGTCTCTTGCTTCAAAGTAGAAGTCAAAATAGGACATCATGGGGGCAGAGTGGCAGTAACCACCACAAAATACAGTTCCTTTTAGTTCTACATGAAAAATGAGTCAGACAGCTGAATGTAGACAAGGTGCCTGTGATGAATATGGATAACTCCCATGCCTGGTGGAACAAAGCACACAGCTCTATTTTCAGAGAAAGACATGCATAACTCCTCAAATCACATAAAACCCTCTTACTAAACTAAAAAGGCAAAAAGGATCCAGTCATCTCTGTAGTCATCCCAAGGCTTATAGAACAACATTTTCTATACCCAACCTCTTCTCCCTAGTGCAAGCATAGGTTCTCCAGAAAACACAGTTGGAACAGGACCAGATGTGCCTTGTAGCATTTTACAGAGCCCTGGATAGGGAGAGATCATCACMAAACCCCAGAGTCAAAAATATGCACACCACAGTATGGTTTAGAGAGTCTAACAACTAACATGTAATGCACTGGAGCTTCTAAATTGAGGAGGTAATTTAGATATTTATATAAAGGGCTTTAAACACCATTCACATACACACTCATTTCACTCATTTGATAATGYAAGAGCCACGTCTGCATCTGGCAACAGCCTTAGCACTGTGGCTATAGTAGTGATAAATAAAAATAGTTGCTGGGGCTGGGGATGTGGCTCAAGTGGTAGCGCGCTCGCCTGTCATGCGTGCGGCCCGGGTTCCATCCTCAGCACCACATACAAARATGTTGTGTCCGCCGAAAACTAAAAAATAAATATTAAAAAATTCTCTCTCTCTTAAAAAAAATARAATATAAAAATAATTGCTTTCTACTCCTGAAAAGTTACCTCCAATGTTTGAACATTGTAGTATAGTGGTAAATAAAAATAGTTGCTTTCTACTACTGAAAAGTTACCGCCAATGTTTGAACAATAATCTTCCAATCCCCTTAAAACCTGCCCATTAGGGCCAGGGTTGTGGCTCAGTGGAAGAGCGATTGCATAGCATGCGTGAGGCACTGGGATCAATCCACAACATCACATCAAAATAGACAAATAAAGGGATTGTGTCCATCTACAAATAAAAAATATATACTATCAAACAACATCCTGAAGAAAAAGCCATTCTAAATARCCAGGCTTAATCACAGGRTAAATTTGGATCATAAGATGAGCAATTCTTTACTGAAGAAAAGAGAAAACCATCTCTGTATTGAGGCCACAGAAGAAATGGATTAGAACCAGAAGGTGACTTCCAAAACCACCGAAGGCTGGCAATGAGGACGGGGTGAGGCAGGAATAACCTGGCACTGCCCTTTTGTCTGCCAGGGCCTTTCCCACCAAAAGAGGATTGGGTATCATTTGTTTTCCATTCATGTGTGAAAACTGGAGGTTCCCTCTTTGAGGTTTTACACAAATGAACACTCATAAACACTCATATCAAATCACAAGGTTGTTTTTTTTTTTTTTTTCTCCCCTCACATTCCCAAATGCTGTACAAAGAGGTTCCTAACCTGTTCAGAAGGGCAACAAGTTCCTGAACAACACACCCTGTTAAGATTCAAAGGGGATGACAAGAACACCCACCACACAGTAACACTCACTTAGACTGGGTCTGTTTGGTGATATTCCGGATAGTGGCACCTTCTTTTCCTATAATGGCTCCAACGAACTGGGTGGGAACCAGCAGGCGCAGAGGCAAGTCACATGGCTTCTGTTTGGACACTGATCCTGGGGACCCTTGCCTTGATGAGCCTCTCTGCCCAAGCCCACGGCGCCCCCGGGGCTGCTGTGAGGAGTTCTGCTGGGCGGCTGTTTCATCAGGGATGTAGGCGACTTTCAAGGTGAAGTTCTCTAACTGGAATCCGTTCAGTTTGTCTAAGGCTCTGAAGGTTCATAAGGAGCAGGGGGTGGGAATGAAAAGTAAGTGATACAATGAATCTGTAAGCAAAGCAACAATCACTCAGAACTATTAGCTCCAAAACTTCTGAATAAAGCCGCTCTACCAATAGCAAACCAAACACMCACAATCCCACCACCTCCCACACTTTTCCTTTGAAGTCCACACAGGGAGAAAAAGGCTAACAGGTTCCAAGGGGGGACTTACTAGCAATCTACCAAAGAATAAAGGAAGTAAAAAAAGAAAAAAACATTTTGTCAAACATTTAATTGAGTTTAACCCTGAGGTTAGTAACAGCTTAGAAATGCCCAAATAGCAAGGGAGAAATGAGCAGGCAGCTTGTCCTGTCTAGTTTCCTAGTCAGAATGCAATGRCCATTACAGTTCATCCTCTAACAACATGAATGTTTAAAACATTCAAAGAATCAATGAACAATCTCTCTACATAATTTACAAGAGAAAGGTTTTTTTTTTAAAAAATGGGGGATGGAGGATATTGGACATTGAACCCAGAGGCACTTTATCACTGAGCCATATCCCCAGCCCCATTTACTTATTTATTTTATTTAGAGATGGGGCCTTGCTAAATTGCTGAGGCTAGGTTTGAACGTGCGATTCTCCTGCCTCGACCTCCCAAGCTGCTGGGATTACAGGCCATGGCAAGAAAGATAAAATTYAATACCAAAGATAGCACTTTCTGTGAGTCAGTCCCTGAGAAAGCAGTTGTTCCTGATCTCATGAGCCTGGGATCTGACTTGGGAGAGAGAGGCAGGGAGGCGATGAGCACAAAAGAGGAAGACTGGGAAGAGAGTATTTTTCCTTCCATTCATCACACTCTGTATCTATTTTAGAAGAATTTTTCCCCTGCCCATTTTAAAACTTCATTTTAATGTTTATGTGGAAAAGTACCCAATTTGTAGACATCTCAGTGAATTTTCACAAGGTAAAGAGATACATCCAGACCCAATACCGGTGCCTCAGAAGCCCACGAGTACCTCCTTCCAATAATTACTCCTTTCCTAGACTTCCAGCACCATGGATTAATTTTGCCTACTTTTAAATTTTATGGAAGCATGAGTACACGAGCTAAGCACTCTTTCATTTCTGTCCTCTTTTATTTATTATAAAAGTCATCCAAATTGTTATGTTCTACATATTTTAAAAGGCAAAAAATTTATGAATAAATAGTATAGGGTGCATAGCCAAGATTTTTTAAAACCACATGATCACAYCCCCAGAAACATACCTTTTGAACTTCCCAATATACAACAAAATGGAAACTCAAAAAAGGTCCCACACTTTTCTTAGGCTCTTCAGGTTCTTGTTCCTATTCTGTTACAACAGGCCCCGAGAGCAGCCCACACAGGGAAAGAAAAGCAGGCATACAATACTCTCTCCCGCTGCTGTGTGGTGATTTACATTTTATATATACTCGTTTCCCTGTTTGTAATTCTTTTTTTTTTTTTTTTAGGTTGTCAATGGACATTTATTTATTTATATGTGGTCCTAAGAATTGAACCCAGTGCCTCACACATGGCTAGGAAAGYGCTGTACCACTGAGCCACAACCCCTATTTGCAATTCTTGACCAWGATGGAAAGAGATGGGTCCAGCACCAGCAAGGGTACGGAGAGCACAGAATAGAAGATAGACGCAGACAAGCAGCTGCAGAGGCTCACTGCTGCTCTTGGGCCAGAATTCTCCCCTTTCCTCAWGTCAAGCTCCCAGCATATGAATGAATTCTTGTTAGAGATCTCAGTCATGCAGAAATACAGAAGTAAATGGAAGATGCTCTGTTCCCACCACTCAAAGGCCCTTCCCAGAAATGCTGCTGTGATACCTCTGTAAATGGACCTTGCCACTTTCCATGTCTACAAACATGTGGATATGTTCAATACCTTCTTCAAAAGCCTAACTGGGGTCATGATGTACATTGATTGTTCAGTGGCTTGCTTGTCCTGGGACGTTTCCATGTAATTTCTATGTCAGAGAACCCTTTTTTTTTTGGGGGGGGGGTGAGTAGGAAGGGAGTGGGGGGCTTTTATTGGTGAATTACAATTGTATATAATAGTTGCGTAATTCTGACATCATCATACATGCATGGAATTTTATTTGTTCCATTTCAGTCCCTAGTGCCCCCTCTTTTCCTCCCCCTATTTCCATTCTTCTACTCTAGTGGTCTATCTTACACACTAATCTACATATTTTAATTAGTGCTTTATATATACAAAGGTAGAATTCATTGTGGTATGTTTATACATGTACATAGTGTAATTGTGTCTAAATCATTCAGCATTTTCTTCCCCTTTCCTGTCCCTCTTCCTTCCCCTTCAATCTCTTCCTATTGCTGATTTTCCCTCTGTCTTTATGACATCCAACCTCTTCACACACAACTTTTGTCCTCCTTATTTTGCTCTACCTTCTGCATATGAGAGAGAACATTTGACCCTTAACTTTCCGAGTCTGGCATATTTCATGTAGCGTGATGTTCCACAGTGCCATCCATTCACTGGCCAATGCCACAATTTCATGCTTTATGACTGAATCAAAYAAACTCCATTGTGTACATATACCACATTTTTTTAATYCATTCATCCACTGACAGGTACCTGGGCTAGTTCCATAACTTGGCTATTGTGAGTTGATCTGCTATAAATATTGACATGGGTGTTATCAGTATAGTATGTTGCTTTTAGTTCTTTTAGATAAAGACCAAGGTGTGGGATAGCTGGGTCACATGGTGGTTTCATTCCTAGTTTGAGAAATCAGAGGACATTCTTTTCACAAGCAACAGAGGAGGATAATGGGCACACACTGTGACTTATTTACTAACATCTTGATAGCAGAACCTTAACATGCTGTTCTTTACTTCCCTGCCGTTTTCTTTTTTCTTACGGGAAAATRGATTAAGGGCCCTAAAATATTTTGGTTATTTCTACAAGGAAACTGACAAGTTTTATTAATGTGGTATATACTTATTATAATAGAAAGTTGGAACTGTAGAAGTTCAAGAGATTCAAAGCGACTTTACACCTTTTTGAAGACCAGGAGAAATATCATCAAAAGTTCCTTAAAAATAATCCAAACTTAGAAACTCAAAGGTCGAATGTTTTCTCTCATATGTGGAAGCTAGAGTAAAATAAAGGAAAGGGCGAGGGAAGATAGAATAACATTAAAGAACCAACTAAATATAAATTAATAGATGAGCAAAAGGAAGTCTACTAGAGGAAGAAAAATGGGAGAGGGCCAAGAGGACGGGAGGGGAAATGAGGGGATCATGAACTGAAATCAAATTGCATGCATATGTGAGTCTGTGAGGATGAACCCAACTATAAAGTTCTAACAACAACAAAAAAATTTCCTTCAAAAACCTGAAGGAATGAACTGTATCTATAGGCATAAAAGGCAATACAGTTCACAGTTAAATCCTTTCCCATGACAGAACTGAGTTGCCAGCTTCAGAAGAGAGTAAATTTTGATTATGGAATGAAAGCCAATGTTATAAAAAAGGGGTTAAAAAAAAAACACCTTATTTCTGGATTGAGTGAGACACGAGACATTCTTCTCCATAAGGATAAACAGAAGCAAACACATAATTCCAGAATACATAGAAACATCCGGTAACTTATGTCCCAGTCATATGTCCAAGAAACACCCTCTCAACTGGGCAAAAACTAACTTATAAGCCCCTATTGTGTATATATATTAGGGTTACGGCCCCTCGGACCACAGTGTTTCAAACGCAAACATAGCTGTAAAGAAACAAGAGTAACCTTGCTGTAGAGTAATGACTTTCTCATGAGATCTTCAGTTTCTGAACTTAAAATCAACCACCGAAACCTTTGTCTGAACAGTTTAGGATATTCAGCTATGTTACAAAGTGGTCAGCTAAGTTCATGGGGATATTTTTAAATATTTTCACCAAGCCTACTGTATATATAAGACATAAAGATGAACAATTATAATCATCCAAAACATACACATGCGGTCAACAGAACTCAGGATGTTTATCCACCAGTGTACTACTCAGGATCCTGTGTTCCATCATTATTTAACTCTTTGCACTGAAGGTATTTATAAGATGCTGAGTAATTTTTTTTTTTGGTTGGCAGCACTTAATTATACTGATAAGAAGTTTACTGGGGTGGATCATAGTTTACACTTGAAAAAAGCCTTGGTAGAATAGCTAGTTCAACTTRAGGATGAGGGAAGGAGAGAAAAGAAATTAACCCAGGGAAGTTACATTTCCCCACAGATCCACACAGAGATTTGAAGGTTGAAGAGTGTGGAGGATAGAGAGAGACCAGCACCCTAGTCCAGCTGAACAATAAATAGCTATGTTTTCTCACAAAAGCCATTCCTTGTTTGGCTGTTCAGCTATGAAATTTAAAATTAGACTTATAGTCAGTTTCAACTCTAAAATTCCACATCTAAAGTCTTTCTCTTTTCAGTGGGGGGGGTGCTAGGGATTGAGCCCAAGGCCTTTCACATGCTATGCACACACACACTTGCTCTACCACTAAGCTACATCTTCAGTCCCATTAAGTCTCCTTTTTACTTTCAGATATCACTGCTGTGAATAGGTAGGTCTTAATAAGATGAAGTTTAGCCATTATGGAAAAGTCACAAATTCAGTTCTCTCTCCTACCATGCTAATGATCATGGTATTTGGAGATGGGACCTCTGGGAGGTGATTACAATTCAATGAGGCCACGGGGCGAGATCCTCATTCCATGGGGCTGTGGCTTTATAAGAGCAGGAAGAGAAGAGACCTGAGCTATCGTGTTCTGCCATGCCTTGTGAGGGTCCACACTGCCTCAGGACACAGCAGAGGGACCCCACTACTAGAGTCCTCACCAGCAAAAAGGACCTCACCAGATGCAGCCACCTAAACTTCCCAGCCTTCCATAACCATTGGCTAAATAAATCTTTATTCTTTGTAAATTACACATTTTGTGGTACTCGGTGACAGTTACAGGAAACAAACT